TCTATCTATCTATCTATCTATCTATCTATCTATCTATCTATCATCTATCATCTATCTATCATCTATCTATCATCTTATCTATCATCTCTCTACCTATCTACTCTGTATCTATATATCCATCTATCCATCCATCCACCCACCCACTTACCTGCCTACCTACCTACCTACCCTACCCTATCCATCCATCCATCCATCCATCCATCCATCCATCCATCCATCCATCCATCCATCATCTATCTGTCTGTCTGCCCCTCTGCCTACCTACTCTATGTACAGTATCTATCTATTCATCCATCCATCCATCCATTCTGCTTTCCTCCATCAACAAAGCAGTGGAGAAGTTAAAACAAATAATGGAACAACCGTGTTGGAAGGTACACCCTGGAGGTCATCTAGTCCAACCCCCTGCCCAGGCAGAAAAACCTATACCACTTCAGACAAATGGTTATCCAACATCTTCTTAAAAACTTCCAATGTTGGAGCATTGACAACTTCTGGAGGCAACTTCTGTTCCACTGATTAATTGTTCTCACTGTCAGGGAATTTCGTCTTAGTTTTAAGCTGCTTCTCTCCTTGAATAGTTTCCACCCATTGCTTTTTGTCCTAGAAGTGACAATCTTGCAATCAGTTCAATCACACTAATAAGGCTGATTTTTTAAAAATTGCATGATTGTGGCAATCATTTTGATCTTTTTCAACACATACTGTTTTGGTCCACCAACAGACAGCAGAGCTGGCAGCAGATTCAGACAGTGAGGAGGTTGGGGAGGAACATGGGCCAGTCCTGGAGTCTGGGGAAGACTCTGACAAGGGCTCTTCATCAGAGGCAGTGAAGGGGCCAGGGCCGTCTGACAGTTATCAGCTGCCTTCAGAGTCAGACATGAGTTGGGGCAGAAGAACAGCTGGAGCCTGTTCCCAGTGTGCGTATGCGCAGAGCTGCCGGGGGAAGCCAACAACTAAGGGTCGACTCAGGAGTAAGGCCACAGGTGGACAATGAATGGCCCCTCCCATAGGGAATAAAGAGCAGCGAAAGGGGAAGGGAGTTTGCAGGACACAATGAGTTCCATTCATTCAGGTGAAGACCTTTTCCTGAGTTCTTGCCAAGTAATTGCAGCTACAGGATGGCGTTTGGAAGATATCGGCCTGGCAGCTCTCCAAGCCTCATAAAGGTCAGTAATTGTGAACTATCTTGAAAGACTGTTTTTTTGCTGGAACTTTGCTGGAGTGGAATTCACTTCAAACTAAATAAAAAGGGGTTTTATCGGGACGAGGAGCCGGCTTCGTGGTCTTGGGGAAGCCTAAGTGAGAAGATATACCCGGATCTAGATACCTACATCCATGTTGGCAGAAAAAGGAAGAGATTTTGCCCATTTCCAAAGTTTATCCTTTGAAACTTGATATCAATTCTCGGTTCTCTTCTCACCTCAAGGTTTTCATTCTCAGCCGATTCTTTCGTTTTGGCCGTTGGTAGCGGGGAAGAAATGAGGGGCAGAGGGCTCGTGATGATCTGTGAGCTGGGGAGAAGAGCAAAAGAAAACAAGAGAGAGAAAATTTCGATGTACAATATTCTGGGGGAAAAAAATTAAATGGGTTCCTCAATGCTTTAAGAAACGAAAACATAGAATAACACAGTGGGGAGGGGACTTTGGAGGTCTTCTAGTCTAGCCCCTTGCTCGAGCAAGAGATCCCCTATTGAGCTGAGTTGACCTGAACTAAATATTTTTTTTTAAAAAAAGATATTGTTATAAATTAATTTAATATATTGACTTTAATTCGTCAGAAAATAGATTGGATTGGGGAAGAAGGCGGGGCTTAGCAGTGAGAAGATGGAGTTTTAGGCTACTCCTGAAATTCCTCTATACCAAAGGANTGGCAGCCCCTCAAATATTGGAAGATTGCTATCCTGCCTTCCCTGGTCCTTCTCTTCATTAGACTAACCATGCCCAGTTCCTACAAATATTCATCATATGTTTTAACCTCCAGTCCCCTAATCATCTTGGTTGCTCTTCTCTGCACTCTTTCTAGAGTCTCAACTTTTTTTTTTAATAGTATGGTGACCAAAACTGGATTCTGTACTCTAGGTGTGGTCTTACTAGGGTTTTACAGAGTGGTATTAGCACCTCCCTTGATCTTGATTGCATTCCTCTGTTGATGCAATTTAGGATTGCATTGGCTTTTTTGGCTGCTGCTGCACACTAGTGGCTCATATTTAATTGGTTGTTCATGTTGGATAATTAGAATCAAATTGATGTATTTACTTAATAAAAGCTGGGCAAAGGTTCTATTTGGAGATGGAGCAGCGTGGAATTCACTTTCTGAAACAATGTTATGACCTCTCCGGCAAGAGTTCGTCTCATCTGAGAGGAAGCAAAATGAAATCCTCAGGTGTCACTGTTTGTGATAGTTCAAAACTCCTTCCTATATCTTCCTACCAGAAATGCACAGAGATGGGAGGGACCTTGGAGGTCTTCTAGTCCAACTCCCTGCTTCAGCAGGAGACCCTGTACCATTCCAGATAAATAGCTGTCCAGGCTCTTCTTAAACTCCTCCAGGAATGGACCACCCAACAACTGATTGATAGTTGTTAACTGTGCGTTTCTGAACTCTATTAAAAATGTACCTGGGACAATTTTCAGCACTGAGAAGTTCAAAAGGTTACTTACCAGTACAAATAGTTTGCCAGTGTGGAGTTTTTGCACGCTCGTGATATTAAGAATGTACAAAGGTCTTGCTGGAAAGGGAAAAAAAGATGTTGTTGTTTTTTTAAGTCAGGAATTTGAGAGATCTAAGATTTCAATCAATCAGAATAGAACTGAAAAGNAAAAAAAACAAAAATGGGAGGTGTTTATAGGGTGTTCAATATTTAATATACAAGTGAGATACTGAGAATTTTTATAACTTTGGTTTCTTTTTCTTTGCTTTTTTCATTCTCTGGAATAGAAGCTGAAGGTCCAAGTTTGGGGGTCTTTCATTCACTCCGGGGGGAAGAAATTGAGACTTTTGGTGTTGAACTGGGACCAAACTTAACAGGAGGGGACGGTTAGCCAGGTAACAAGGGAGCAAAGATGCTGGAGAGGTTTAATTGACTTTAGAGGATCATGGAACCAAGGTTCGTTTTCGCTCAGGTGCTTCTCACAGGTAAAGTTGGTTCCTGGCCCGTGGATAATTGTCTGGTCATCCTTACCTTTTTTTTCCGGTTCCCACTTTCACGCTGCACAGCTTTCATTAGGTGGACCAACCGATCGACAAAAGTCTGTTGGGCAGCCAACAAAGATCGCATCACCCGGACGGATTTGTCCCCCTGGGTAAATCAGGAGACAAAAAAACCCACCTTTTTTCTTTCTTTTCTTTCTGCCTTTCTCTCTCCCTTTCTCCCTCTCTTCCTCTCTCTCTCTTTCTTTCCTTCCTTCCATTCTTTTACTTTCTTTCTTTTTCTTTCTCCTTCCTCCCTCCCTCCCTCTCTCCCTTTCTCTCCCTCCCTCCCTTCCTATCTTTCTCTTTTCTTCCTTCCTTTCTTTTTTCCCTTTCTTTCTAACTTTCCTTCCTTTCTTTCTCCCATCCTTTCTTTCTTTCTTTTTCTTTCTCCTTCCTCCTTTCTTTCATTCCCTTCTTTCCTTCCTTCCTTCCTATCTTTCTTTTCTTCCTTCCTTTCTTTTTTCCTTTCTTTCTAACTTTCCTTCCTTCCATTCTTCCTTCCTTCCTTTCTTTCTTTCTTTTTCTTTCTCCTTCCTCCTCTCTTCTTTCATTCTCTCTCCCTTCTTTCCTTCCTATCTTTCTCTTTCCTTCCTTCCTACCTTCCCCCCTCCCTCCCTTTCTCTCCCACCCTCCCTTCCTATCTTTCTCTTTTCTTCCTTCCTTTCTTTTTTTCATTTCTGTTTAACTTTCCTTCCTTCCTCCCATCCTTTTTTCTTTCTTTCTTTTTCTTTCTCTTTCTTCCTCTTTTCTTTCATTCTCTCTCCCTTCTTTCCTTTCTTCCTTCCTTCCTTCCTCTCTATCTTTCTCTTTCCTTCCTTCCTACCTTCCTACCTTTCTTTCTTTCCTTCCATCCTTTCTTTCTTTTTCTTTCTTTCTCCTTCCTTCCCCCTTTCTCCCTTCCTTCCTTCCTCCCTCCCTATCTTTTTTCCTTCCACTCTTTTTCTTTCTTTCTTTCTTTCTTTCTTTCTTTCTTTCTTTCTTTCTTTCTTTCTTTCTTTC